ACGGAGCTCGCCGCGATCGCGAAGTGGACGAAGAAGCCCGAGAGGGAAGCCATCCACCAGCATCACCACCATCAGCTTTCGAAGAGGCCCGTAACGAGGCAGCACGTGAAGAACGGCCGTGACTTTGCCCGTGACCTGGAAGACTGAGAAGAAGCACGACTCGGCAGCCAACCGCCTCCACGGGGTACCGGTCGCGGTTGGCCCCCCGCCTCCAACTCAAGCCACTCTGGGGGGAGATCCTTACCAGCTTTCGGCGCGATGAGTTGGTAATGGCGATCTAAAGAAAAACCGGGACCACCACCTGGCGACGATCGTCCTTGTAGCTGATGCGCTTCCCGTAGGCTATCACCTGGTCGGGTGCCGCAATGTCTCCAACAATGAGCAAAATGCGACAATTCAATCGTTTCGTCATGGCACGAAACGTCAAATCATCGCACCACCGCCCTGGGCGATCAAGAGCTTGGAGATATTCCTCCCATGTGGAGGGGGGTTCACCGCCCTTCATCTGATTGAGGTTCTCCTTCTCGGTCTCGTCGGCTGGGGCCGGAGGTGGCAACCAGAAAGGCTTGAAGTGATCAGGCTTTTCACGGATGTAGCTTGCAATCTCAGACCTAAGGGTGGCTCCACGGGCTTTGGCAAGCTTGCAAGCATCTTTCCAAGCATAGCCATCACGATGCACCGCATAATGGGCACCGACCACATTGAAGAAGTTTTGGCCTGCCCCGCCACATTCATGGATGTCGTACCAATCAGAGGGCCCTCGCACAGGTGATCGCGACCGAGCCCGATCCCCACCACCAGCAGCTTGGGAGTCCGGGGCACCAGTGTTGGTGCCTGTGGTGGCTTGACCGGCCTGATTTCCCTTGCCCTTGTTTGCAGCCTTCGCCCCAGCAAGTGCATTGGTCCCATTGGCCGTGGGGCCCGTAGCCGCAGTGGAGGAAGCCGGGTTCGTAGCACGCCGTGGGGCGGCTGCACCAGGGGCACATGCCGAGCTCGCCAAGTGCAGGTCCTGTCGCCAGCAGCTTTAGGCTCAACCCGAAGGCCTAGAGCAGCACCTCCACCACGTCGAAAGGCCAAAGCACGACCCTCGGCAGCCGCCTGGCGCTGAACAAGTGTGAGGTAAGCCGGGCCGACAACATCACCAGGCTGGATCCAATCAACAATGGGTTTAGCCTGATCCCGGGTGAGCTCGGCAACGAAAATGCCATTTGCACCTGATCTCTTAAGGAGCCCAGCCTTGTCAGCCTCGGCAACCTTGGCATAGCACTCAAGAACAGTCTCGCGGTTGCAGGTGTCACCGGCCTGAAGTTTCTGCCACATGCCAAAAGAATGCAATGGGCCCAGAGCCTGTCTAGCCTGTTCCCCCGGCTGCTTGCAGAATTTCTCCCACTGAGCTGGCTCGCAAAAGGTTTTAGGCACTTGCACTCTCACCGTCACAAGCTTGCGGTCTGGGGCAGCAAAAGTAGCCTTGATCACGGCCTTATGCTGGCCACCCGCCTCAGTCAAGGCGACAGCCGGCCACGATCTCACCTGCTTTTGCCCTCTTGGGCCTACAGAAGGCAGCTGCATAGTAGTAGCATCACGTGTTGGCACAAACCGACAAATCACAGACATGGCGTCCTTGAGGTCGTGGGCCCGAGCCAACGAAAGGATGGCATCAAGCTCAGCCTGCTCATTGGCAATCACAAGGTGGCCGTCTAGCGGGACTCCATCAGTGACTCGCTTCTTAGCAGTGCCAAAGCCCAGCAAGCCACCGACCAATGGATCCACATTCCACTGTTGAACTGCTGCCGCCCCCTGCTTCTTCTTGCTTTCTACGACCTTCCATTCTGAGCCGCCTTTGCTCATCATGTGCGACCGGCTTACAGAAACTAGGCTCCACAACTCTAGCCTGTGGGGCCTGGGTGGGCGATGGCCGAGCTGGCTCCGCTTTGCCCTGCCCCTTTGCTCGCAACCTTCTGGCTGCACGACCGTGCCCGTAACCCACAACAGCACGATGCACAACGTCTTGAAGCGCACTAAGCAAATCACTCGGGTCCTTTTTGACAGCACGAACCACAGCCTCCAAGGCCTTGAGGAGGTCGTTGTCACTCGTGATGTTGTTGCCCTTGCCCTTGCCACGAACAGAGCCATCAGAGGCAGGGGTCACCGAGGAAGTCGCGGGTGGACCGCCATCGTTCCCATTGGGCTTTTTGCCCTTGCCCTTGGGCTGCCTTCCATCAGTATTGTTGCTCGGCTGGACCTTGGCGAGCAATGCCTGGAGACCCTCAAGCAACTCGCTGTTTCCGCCACCACCGCCACGGCACAGGTGGCCCCACTGCTGCCAGCCATCAGAGGTCCTGACCCAATCCCAAGGAGGGATGCCTTCAATCACCTTGGTGAGCACAGTCGCCGGGCAGCCATCACCATGGCTAGCTCGCGGAGGCTTAGCAGAGAACCCTGGGAGCTTTGAAGAGCTAAGGTCGAAAACCCTGGGTGGGCCCACGGCCTCTGCATCGGCCATCTGGCTCTTTATAGTGTCTTGCTCGCTGCCTGCTTGATTTCTTGTTGCCCTCAAGCGAGTCTTTTCCACTGTTCCAGGTTCTTGGGTCCTGTCCCGCAAAGAACAAAGACCCCGATCACTCACTCGCAAGTCCCTCGCAGAAGCAGCCCACAGCCTTCGCGAAGAGCACACGCCCGAAGGCGCAGAAGCGATCTGGGTCGCCGTAGCCTGAACATGCGGCACAAAGAGCCCGAGACTCCCTACACGTGGCCCACACCAGAAGCCCATATGGCTCCGCCGTTTTCGCCCACAATATCGACGCCCCCTTAGGCAGAGAGCATTGAAGGCGATGAGCTTGTGCGACCTCAGGGCCTTAGGTCGCGGTTTCCGTCTGCGCTGCTTCCGGCGCAAGCGCCGATGCAACACTCTCCTGAGATGGCGTGCCCTGAGCCCCGGCTCAAGACACTCGCAATTCGGGTGGCACAGAAGCCACAGGATCACATGTGGAACCACGGTCACCAAGTACACAAAGCAGGCTCCCACAACCTGCCCGGCTGCACTGGTCCAATTAATTTCGTCCCTCGCCCATGCCCAAGCAGGCGAGATCCGCCGCCACCGAGGTGCTCGCGAGCACCAGGAGGTATTCACAAGGCGGCAGTAGGGTGATTATCATACGGGTACCCTTTTCCTATTATTCGGTTTTGATAAGGGGATCCTGAAACAAAAAGGGCAAAAGGGTACCTAAACCCCTAAACGCCCTAAAGCCTAAACCCTTGAACCCCCAAACTAAACCCCTAAACTCGGTACTTGGGGGACCTTTGGGAAGCCCTCCGAAACCTCGAGCTGCCGCTTGGCGGACACGAGCTCCTCGCACCGCAGAACCGAAGCCGTGGGTCCATGTACCCAGTTAGGGCTCCTACAAGGGCTCTATAAGGCCCCAGAGTATGTGTGCGTGTATGTATGTATGTGTATATATATATATATGGAACCGAGACCGTACAAGCGCTGTAAGGTTTAATGCTCAGAAAGTTTGGGCTTAGGGTTTAAACTGTTTAGGGCCTTGTAGGATCAAGGAATTTATAGACATCCCCTCATGTAGCAAGCCTTAAATCCTACTGTCTTGAAGGCCGAAAGTGTACCCTTGAATCCTACCGTGTGAAGGCCCAGCGAGCGGCGGACATCGCTTTATCCCGAAAATGCACTGGAGGGTGGGGGTTGTATGAGTGATATTCTGTAAGGAATCTATCAGTCAGGGTTCTAGAGGTGTTTCAAGCTTCTTCATCAGGCTTTGTCGTCGCTCCTGTTGTCAGTCAACACTTCCTACACAATGTTTGCAAGTTATAAGTTTGGGGCTTCCCGCGCCCAGCTGCAGGATTCAAAGCTTACCCAAAACGAGAAGTGACAAAGGCCGAAACTAAAAGTGTCCTTGACTTGTCCGGACACCACAAGCCCTAAGCAACCCTAACCGCCCTATCCCTACCAACAAGCACTCAAGACCGACAGTAGGGCTTCGGGTTTAGGGTTGCGGTAGTTATTTCGCAGGTGCACAAGGAGAAGGCTCAAGCACACTCAATTGCAGCGGATTCTCTACTTGGAGGGTCATGGGACTGAGTAAGGTAAGGCTATAAGTACCTTTATTGGGGTTACGAGTATAGTTGTAAGTATAGTTACGTATAACCCTGGTTACTAAGACCCATGACCCTCTAAGTAGATCAGCTGTTTCAGGTATTCAGTGGTGTTGCCAAATGGTGCTGAGCCAGCCCATCTGATTCTGGGCCGCGTCTTCATGTCCTCCTACATTCTCTGGCTAATTTAAGGGGCCCCACTAATTAGGATAGGGTTTGGGGTCGCTATAAAAGGGTTACTATAAGGGCTACTATAAGGGTTCTATGATATTCAGGGGCTTTAATGATCAAAAATAGGATTTTGGTGTATATTATACTACAAATAGTATAGGTAACTATAGAGGCCCCTATAAAGTATCAAGCCTCGGTGCGCAAAACTAACCTACCCTTGGTGACTGCGCATGCGCAGTGCTCAAGGTCGTTGAGCGCAAACCCGCCCGGTACACAAGGTCGACTGCCTGGAAACAGTGCTACATCGGCCCATTGCCGCAAGGCGCAACATAAACCGAAACCTTTCACCGCCGTGAACGCCAAGTAAGCCCCGGCGGTCAAGGCATGGTCCATGCTGAATGCCCACGCAATTCAACAAATTACATACTTTGGGCTTGCATTTTTCGCCGACACGAAAGCTCCCTGACCCACCCCGAATCTAGAGAGTGAAACACGCTTGCACTCCATCTGGAAGTGAAGCTCAGGCTCGCTGTGATGATTGACCTGAAAATCTGGTGGTTGTCAAAAGGCAACATGCACAGTGGCTCCACTCATGCCAAGAAATGGCCAGATTCATACAGGAATGTCCTGACTGGCGAATCCAAAGAGAGCCAAACATACGAGGCAAATCAGCAAACCTTTGTTGCACAGGCCGATACATAGAGGAACAGCACAGCATCATCTCACATGCCATCCAGTCTCTTGAAACATGCCTGCATGACTTTCTGCATGAGTTCATTATGTTCGTAACAATAAGGCCAATGAAGCTGACGGAGGCCTCTCCGGTTGTTCCTGATGATGTATTCAATGCACCAGTCCAGGCGTTCCTCTGTGACCTCTATGTTGGCAGACTTGCTCTTCCACATCTTGTACGCCGATACCATGACTTTCATGTTCGGGGCGGGATGCGCATTGATGAACTTGGCACATCTATTCCCCAACGCTGTCATAAGGTAATAGTCGGACCAGTCCGTCAGGAACAAGAGTTTGTCATCATCCATGTCTTGATCTGCGGCGGTCGCTGGGTTGATCCACCTATACATCTCTTCGAATTCCGTGCGATCCCGGTCGATATTGATAATATTGCTTCCTGCTGACCACACTTCATTTAGCTGAGCTTTGAACGTTGGCGAAGCCAACTGGAGGACTTCGCGGCTAACATGCAGGAAGTCCTTCTCGTCACCGCGGAATGTCACACGAACCTGTCCTGCATGTTCGTCTTGTTGGTGATTTTCGCCCTCCTCCTCTTGCCCTCGAGCACCTTCCATTGCTCCTAGTGTCTATGAACCAACCAAACACCTGAGACCTAGAGGTGCTGCAAGGTACAAGCAATGAAACCTGGCAGAAAGTATGAGGAAGGTGAAAACACTGTGTATAGCAGATGGATCGAAGCAGGAAGCATCGAACCAGATGAGGGTTGCTAGAGTTGTGATTGTCTTTCCGGTGTGTTCGCGCTTCCAAGCATCGGAACAGTGGCGAACATGACCGTAATGATGATGGTGGCGGTGGTGACCAAAATGGTGGTGAGCATGAAAGCGAGCAATATCATCGCTCCATGGCCACTGCTGCGAACTGCGATTCTGGGACGACCATACAAACGACGACTATACAACGACGACACGACTACCGATTCCCAGCTACGGTTCCGCCGATGTGTTCATTGTTGATCGCACTCCTTTGCCGTGGCTGCAGATGCTGCTGTTACCGCTGCTGCTGTCGCTGTGGCGGCTGGTGGTGCTGCTGCTGCGGCTGTTGCGGCTGCTGCTCCTCCTCCTCCTGCTCTGCTTGCTACTCTTGCTCCTGCTGCTACTAGTGCTGCTGCTGATGCTGCTGCTACTGCTACTGCGATTGCTACCAAACAGACAGCTTGTTCTGTTGGCCCTTTCGTTGTGTTTTGTAACAGGAACTTGCTTAACCCAAACCCACAGCACTAATATTCCAGCTCGCAGAACAATCGGACTTCATGACTTTGTGCTCCGGAAACCACCTTTTCTTACATCGCAAGTCTGACCGATTTCAATGCTTGCCTGAAGCTCCAACGCCCCTTAACTGACAAACGAACCTTAGCAGATAGAGATACTCCTCACTCCAACTCGAGGAGCCTACTAACTCTTAACCCACGTCGGAACCCTCTCAGAACCGAAACCCGGCGTATTATAAACATTGCATATACATGTCATATATCTTATCAACGGACGTGTTGGACTTTCCATGACGGGGACACCCTGCATAAACCCCAAAGTCCAGGATCCCTGGAACCTCCCGAATTCTGAAACTCCGAACAGCAGCCCGCACAGAAACCATGCGTTTTTCAGCAATGAGCCCGGGCCCCTGCCCCCGCCACCGGGCCTCCATGGTCTTGGCGGGTACATGCCCTTCCTATGGTGCGACGGTTCTATAGTGGTTCATAGGGGGCTAAGTATGGGCTCTAGGTTTGAAAGGTATGGTCAGTGGCAACGTCTATATATGTCCAGATCGTTAGATAGAAAGAAAGAAGGATAGACAGATAGGTCGACAGATAGATAGATAAATAGGTAAGAGGTAGACGGATAGATGGACAAGTAAGTAGACGGATAAATAGATTAGATAGATAGATGGATGCAGGGCGTGAGGGGCAGCAACCGAGAACAGACGTAACTCGGTTTGTCGCGATGAGCTGATTTCGGGGCTTCTTTTGGTTGCGTTGAGGCGGGGTTTTGGGTGTGGGGTGTAGCGTTGTGGTTTCAAGTTGTGACCAAGTCATAGACCCTTGAACCCTACTAGGAAATGGGATACGAGCCTAGGGGAACATGTGTTCTGTGAATAGGGCTGATGTTCAATCCGTACAACAAGTCGAAGGTAAGGGTTGCGAGCATGCTCAAGGGATCCGTGATAAATCTCCGATAAATAAGCATGGAACCCCGAACAGCTTTTGCATGGTATGTTATGAGAGAGTTGTGTCCTTTGGGGATCCTTCGCCACAAAGACGGTGTCTGATCAGGGGGCAAGCAAAGAGAGCTGCGGGAATTTCGAGTTAAGGGGCAGTTTTGGATCTGTGGGGATATGGTAGCGATGCGGAAGCTCAGGCCAAGGAGCATTTCGGTGCTCTTTTATTTAACGGCACCTTATTTCGGGACTTTCATAAAGTGCCTTGCTATTGAGCCAGGATGTTCTTTCAGGTGCCTGGTTTCTGACCCTCCCCCCAGCCATGCTTTCAAGTGAAGCCAGATGCGAAAGATTCAACAGTGACACATGTTCGACCAAACCGGCCCTCTGATACTGTAGTCTCTCCAACCCTAAAGCTTAAGCCTTATAAACCTTAAACTGAAACCCTAAAGCCTAAACAGCACCCTCAACCGACTGAATCACCCCATACCGTGAACGCTCGGTCCTAAACCCGTCGAGGCCTATAAAGCAAGCGCGCAAATCTCGAGACGACTCTACGTTCTCTCTTCACCAATGACCTATACGCTACATTGATTCTGAATCACACAGCCCAGGGGCCACGGATTGCCAAAAATCACTTCCGCGCAAGCTGCATAAAACGAACCCCCTGTAAACCCCTCAACCCCGAATACAGAGATGGGGAATTGCTTCTTCATTTTTGCTTATTCATTTACGTTTTATTTAACGACACATGCTCATCTATGTATGTACATATATGTATACATGTTTGTTGAGCTACTTGAGGCATCGCCTGCTTATGTGTCTGTCTATGTGTTTACTCATGTGGTTGTTCATGTATTTGTTTACGCAATTATCTACCTGTTTCGCTCTTCACTTATCCCCTTGCAAGCCCTATATAGTCGTAATGTGATCTACCCTGCACACTATTCCTAAGCTTAGGCCGAGCGTTCAACCCCAAACTCTTCCAACCAAGAAGGCGGCGCCTGTCTCTGCTGCTCCTCTAGGAGCCGACGCTTGGCTTCTGTGTCGTTCATCTGCCTCCCCGTCAAAAAAGAGCGGAAGTTAGGCTTGAGGGTTTAGGGGTTTAGGGGTTTAGGGGTCAGGGGTTGAGGCTTTAGGGATGAGGAATCAAGGTAATCCTTGTTGTTTTCTGTTGGACGCAATCTAAAGCTCAATAGTTGCCGAGTTCTCTGGCCCAGACACGGCTATCCCTGTGCATGAGCTGCAAAAGCGCAACTGTCTCTCATCCCCCTCCCTAATTGAACCCTAAACTCCAATGAAGCCCCTTAGCCCCAGACCCTAAACCCTGAATCCCAAACCCTCCAGCCCAAAAGCGTCAAATCGTTGCTCACAAATCGTCAAACCCAGGGCCCTGCGCCATGAACCCCAAAAGCAATAGTCTTCCCACAGAACCCTTGTGGAACCTACCCAAAAAACCTCCTCGGGTTTAAGGGCTAAGGAGTGTAGAGCTCAGGCTTGTTTGATTTCTGCACGACTATATAGACTAAACCTGGAAGGAAAGCGAAGGACGTGCAGTTGGGGTATACCGGTGCCTAACGCAGGACCCGATTTCAAACTCACTACGGTGCTTGGGGTTGCGGTCTAGGGTAAAGTTTAGGAGTTTAGACTTTGTGTCCAGGATTGCTTCTTTCAATCCCCAACTGTCAAGCTCTAGACACCGTAAACCCTAAACCCCTGAATCCTAAACCCTAGATGCTCACGGTTCCTGGCCTGTGGAGATTTCGATTTCGGGCATTGCTCCTCATCCACACCATGAACTCTTGCACGGAGACCCATCCTGGAAGGACACTTGGGACTTAGCAAGTAAGGTTCCTTACATGGTTTGTTAATGGGATCCATCAGGGCTTCATAAGGAGGATCATGGGACTAATCGTAACTAGGGTTCCTATATGGGATGTATAAGGGTTACTATTGCGTGTTCTATATGGTTTTCCGGGTACTCAGAGGATCATCGGACTTAGTAACCAGGGCTGTCAATAACGTAACTTTACTTACAACTACTTATATACAACGCCAATCAAGGTACGTATAAACTTATTACTATGTCTAACGATTTTTCAAGGATGTGGGCCTGGCAATTTGAACAGGGCCTTGGAGGAGGTGGAGGAGGTGTTCCGGTAATGGTATAACGGTACAACTACGGACTACAAATGCGACATCTTCATCCTAAACCCCTTCAACCGTCTAAACCCGAACCGCCAAGCCCTTAAACAAAAGGGCTTCAGCTAGGCTATTCCACTCGGCCTGAAGTACAGTAGGGGCCTCAAAAACTAGGATAGGCTTTTGGGGTTTCCTTATTGTACTTATAGTATTCTATACCCCTAAACCTTATTCCAATTATTGATGCCCCTACATGACACCCCAGGTCCGAACTAAAGCCGCGAGGAGGGGCCTGACTGGTCAGCGTCCATGGAACGCCAGATGCCACCTCGGGGTTTAGGATTCAAGGTTTTGGGTTTTTTGGGAATTTGAGTTGAGGGTTTAGGATTCAACTGACCTTAAGGTTTACGTTTTGGGTGTTTCGGTATTTGAGTTTAGGGTTTACGGTTCAAGGTTAAATGAAGGCTTTCACGTTTGGGGATTTATCACGAGGAATAGCACAGACACGCCAGAACTCTTAATATCTATCGGCAAGAGATCTTCGCTTCGCAAGGGATGCTTGCTATGTGTCCCAAAGTCCATTTCTTCAGTCAGGGGCTTTGGAGTTTCTGACAGGACCATCGGCTCTTAGTAGGCGTTGGGCCTGGGCGGGCCACTCGCTCGAAAGACAGGACCGAGTTCCTAAACCTGAACTTTTCATGGAACCCAACCCACTAAAGCCCCCCAAAAAACCAAAACAAATCAAGAACCAGACACCAGAAAGCTTTATTTCACTACAAGCCCTAATCTCTGAATCTGAATCTGAACCCTGAAAACCTTTCACTTACTCATGTCATTTGAAGCCATAGATCATAGTTCCTGCATGACTGCCGAGCCACACACAAAATCCTGAAACCTTATGAGCAAAGCGGAGAACCCTCAAAAGCCGCAAGGCCTTAAAGCCTTAGGTCCTAACTTGAAGCCCGCGAACAGAAACCTTTTTGCAAACCTAGCAGAACGTTGAAAAACCCTATGTAGGAAACCCTACATCCTAAACCCCCGCAAAGTAAGCAACATCGTACTCTCTTCACCATCTCTGAGACCTGAGCGGAGCTGATCTTCCGAAATCTCTTCCTGACCTGGGCAGTGGCGCACAAAAAAAATGTACACACTCAGAACAACAGTGCCGAGTACTGAATGGTAACAAATCTTGGGTCATATTGTATCATGTGATAACTCTATACAATAGTAATACGAAAAATGTAAACCCCTACGGAGTCCA